TATTCCAACAAATTTAATAAAGATACTTATAAATATTAAATAAAATATATATGTTACTTTCAATATTAATTAAGGCCAGCCCCTGGCCGGCCATGAATAAAAATCTAGTTGTAATCAAATAAAAAAACAATTTGATAATTCGATGATTTCCTAAAAAATTTTCAAGAACATTTGTAATAATATATAATTCACGATTTAAAAATTTTTTTTCAGAAAATTAACGTTCCCAGGAGTTTCTTTTATTCTTTTAAAAAGATTTGACTCAAAAAATTTTTTTTTCATTGCTGATCATTTGTGATACCTTCATTAATTAATATACAATTATGCAACTCAAAAAAAAAAAAAATTATTTTTTCAGAAACAATATGTAATTAAACGAGATAACTCAAAAATAAACTCATTTTATTTTTTGTAATCATGGGAAACTCATGATGCAATTTCAAACTTTCCAAGACATTGTTTTGCTTTAAGATTTCCGATTGTAGTATGCAGTATTGTTACAAATGACCTAAATGACATATGATCTCAATAAAAGGTCATTTCAAAATGGCAAATGAGGTCATTGCAATATCACGTGACTAAATTATATAGGGTCAAAAACATATATATATTGGCTTTTTTCCTTTTTTCTTGCTGCTTTTATTTCTTAGTTGTTATATTTACAACTTTAACGAAAATTTTATTTCACTTAAATTTACAACTTCAACGAAACTTACTATTTTACCTAAAAAAGGGATAATTCACCATCTGCTACATGCTCGACCAGTGTTGGCAAATGACCTTGAAATGACCTAAATGACATCATTTTTATTATAAATTTCAAGTCAAAATGACCAAAAGTCATTTAAAAATATTAAATGACCTTATAATTTGCCATCACTATACTCGACTGGCACTGACAACAGCTCAAAGGGAAAGGTACCTATGAAACTTTGGTAGTGCTAGAGAATAAATTCGTTCTTGCTACCAAGTTGTTAGATTTGTTTTGCCAAATATCAAATATTTCAGGACCAAGATATGAATTGTTCAATGATGGTCATTCTTTAGAACAACACTACGTCGCGGATATTTTAATTGAAGAAGAACGATTTAAGGGAGAAAATTTTTTTTCGGATTCTCTTGAAGCTCAAGAATGTGTTGCAGAGATGACGTTCGATGTACTAAAGGTGATGAAAAGCTCGAACCACCTCAGTAGCCCATGGAGCCATATTTTTAGAAAAACTTTTTGATAAAGTTGGTTGGGGCCGTATCAAATATCCGGTTGATAAAACCTCAAAGGATAACTGAAAACATTAATAATGCTCAGATTGCTGCTGATAATGAAGTATTTCAATTAATTAAGGGATTAAGGGATTACAAGGAGTATTTCGATCTGTAGGATTTACTTCAGGACCACGTGAAACTAAATTTGTTGATTTATCTACCTTTAAAGGAGGAGATCATATGTACATGCCATGCTAAAAAATTAAGATTCATCTCGAATCTTTGTAAAGGATCAAGCAGCTCGGATGACATTTTTGACGTTGGATCTCAAGTAGCTGACAAGTATCATTTGTCAAATTTACGACAGAATACTAGGGTTGAAATCTTCAATAGATTAAATACGATGATTGCAAAGCATCTTTTATTTATCGATGCCTGGAAATGGAATGATCTTAAATATGATATGGATTTCATCGTATAAAATTTTCAAAAAATACAAGAAACCCTGAATTTAAAAAGTTGTCGGCTGAACTGCGGAGTTATCGGCGATTACCCTGAAATTATCCGGTTCAGATAATTAATTTATCATATGTGGACGTGTAATTATAAGGGTTATCCTGCGGGAATCGAAATCTTTCAAGAAATTGTGGATAATTTGTTGAAAATTCAAATCACGAAAATAAAGCGATTATTGGCATTTTGTTTATAGAAAATTATAAAATAGCGATCATGTGAAGTAAGCTATTAAATCACGTTACGGATCATTTGATTTACTAGGTTATTATTTTAATAGCAAACTTCCCATATTTTTCATAATTTTTTTAGTTTTTTAACAAGAAAAATTTTTTTTTTTATTTTTATTAATTAAAAAGATTTTTTAATAAAAAATAATTTTGGATTAGAAGGTTCATTTTTTAAAAAACTTATATTAAAGCTTTTATTTAATTTTAAATTTGTAGATAAAATACAATAAAAGGATTGGAAATTCACTCTAATGCTTCCCGATCAATTTTCTTTCATTACTTTAATTACCGATCTGCCAATCGCTCCATGTGTTATAGATTTTTCATCTGGCTTGCTAAATAAGATCGATGCGTCGTTAGAAACATTTTGGTTTTTTTTTGGTTCCGTTAAATGAAAAAAACTTACAAACAATTATTTTTGTGCCTCTCTAGTCTTCCATGTATCTTGTATTTTTGGCACGAATGAAATTAACTAATATAATAAATAAAATTATGAAGATTATCATGTTAAAAATGTTTATCGTTTGTAATAATTTAAAATAGAAAAAATATGTGCCTGTTCTTCAGTGATCCCATCAAATATACTTTGTTCTATTTTTTCAATTACAGTATGATTATTTGCGCGTGGTTGATCATCACGAAACCTTTTAAATCTCCATGGTGGATGAATTGAAGGGTTATAAACTACTTCAACAATACGTCCTTCAAATTGTTGAAAGTCATGTTTCCAACTTTATGCGAATAAAACATTTGGTTAATCAACATTGTTGTCTATGAATAAAATCAGTAAAGTCGTTAATTACTTACAATTGCTCCCACTCTTCATCGGTAACATACATATTATCAAAATATCTATGAACATCCATCCATTTATAAAGACAAAATCTTGGTTTATTATTCTTGTTATGGCGTTTAAAATCGAAACTTAATTTAAGGTCAATAGAATTTTCATTTGGTGGTTTCCATTTTAATATTTCTCTGCCGAATAACCCGATGTTGATGATGTAAAAATTATCCCATCGCAGGTTGTGCTTTAAAGATGGTATAATTTGTTTTAAAACTTTTTCCAGTCCATAAGAACGTTCCATTTCTTTATTTACTACACTTTATGAATTAAAATTTTTTCATGTATAGAAAAAACAAAAAGGTTAGAATTGATCATTTAAGTGACAGGTAATTTGAAAAAGTAATACAATAACAATTACTTATATGGTTGAATAATCGCAAGGTCCGGACGTTTACGCAGCATTTTTTCATAGGGGCTCATAATATATCACGAAGATACTTTTAAAAATTAAAGAATTGTCAATTAATATAATAGAATTATAATATAAGTTTCCATAATTTATGCAACTTACACCCAATTTTCTGTTAAGAGACTTATTCATGTAATTCGTTTTATTTCATTACTAACAAATCAAAAACTAATAGCCTTAAGGAGGCCTAAATAAGAACATTAAGTCAACAAAAAACATCAATGATAACTTACAATTTCAAAAATAAATAATAAAAAAAATATTACTATATTTACCCTTCCATTGCTTTCAATATCATTAATTAGTTCACAATCTATTAATGTTTCCTCATAGAATCTCGAGAATGTCGGGTCACCATATACAGGAAACCATAGACTTGGAACTTCATGGTAATAATTTTTACGATCGATCTGTATTATCTTCGTTTAGTAAGTGAATTCTTAATTTAAGATCAAATTTTAATAAAATAATAATACTGACCAAAAAAACAGCTGGTTTCCCAGGACTATCACATGTAATATAAGCTAATACACGTGTTCCG